GGGTAGCAAAAAGAAGATGCAAAAGTATACCAGTGACCAGTGAATACACGTGATAGCTGCTGAAAACCTCTTCCTGGGTTAGGGCTAGCCCTTCAATGGTTCCGCCCTCCAAAATGAGCAAGAAAAGAGAAGCGATTGGGAGATCACATGGACTGATCTGAACTGAAGCTTTGTGTTCGAAGCTGTTTTCTATGTGCAACATGTTCCGACATGTTCCGACTGCAACAGCTCCAGTTGCAAACAATGGCAACGGAGGTGGGTACCGAATGCAGGATGATGAAGGCGGCACTGAAGGCCAGGAAATAGGGGTTGGTGTCCTTAGAGCTGGCTATCTGCCTCGATGGGCGCCACTGCACCCAATACTGCCCTCCACATCCGTCCACCATGTTGCAATGCCTGGTAATGCATCCGAGGATCCAGGTAGAGTCGCTTGAGCATGAACCTGAAACCAGTTTTCATCAGTTTTCCCTTATCTTGTGTTCTAAGTCCTCACCTTGAGAAACCACATCGTTGGAATCTCTCTTCTTAACAACTACTACGTTACAACTAAAGTAAGTCTAAGTCCTGATCATTCAAGATTCATTGCTGAAACACATTCATTGCAATCCAACTTGAGAGCTTTTAGAGGCGCCGAAATGTGACTTGTACTTTATCATAGTTCATCCATGTTCATCCAACAGACGGTCCAAGTGACTTTCAGCAAACTAATCCCGGGGCTCCCAGCGAATCACGCTGAGTGTCTGTAAGGTCATACTCGCTCTGTTGCATCCATTGTTCTGCCATCTGCACCTGATGGTGCCACGATTGCCATGGTGCAATCAAAGGCTTAAAGGTATCAACAGCTATCAACATGTATCAACTATCCCATCCAAAAAGCATCAAACAACATGTTTTTTGCACCTGGATGCTCCAGGAAAAGAGGCTCACAGCACCTTGATCGAGTCATGGTCCAGTGTCGGTTGATCATCTGAAGGTGCATTTTGAAGGTCGATCATGGAGGATGGTTTTTCATTGTGCCCTTTGTAGAAAGGAAATTGTATTTCAAAGATGTCAATTGAATCCGCCTTCAATTAAGTGCCGCGCTGTAGGAAAGAGTGAGGTTTAGCGTCCTGCCACTGCAATACACAGAAATATAAACACAAAATAGATCTCAATGAACAGTCAACGATGAGTTTACAAGGGGGGGACGATCACAAGCTAAGCGGAAATGCCAAAACAGCACAAATACTACCATGCTCACTACAATTAAGCGATTTGGATGGCAGGCTTATATAGGCTTATGTGGATTCTGCGTGGATCAATGCTAAAACTGGCGTCATTTCACGAGAATATATGCTGCTTTTGTCATTCTCGTCAGAATCATCAGAAGGCATTGGGTAGTGTGTCGCACACAGTGAAACAATCCCACGATAAGACTCTGAGTGTCTTTGGTTATGAATAGATAATTGACTGACTGAGAACAACCTCGGCTCTGTTTGCCATCATGTGGCATCTTTTGCCACTGCCAAAATCCACTTGAAGACTGAGGAGCACAGAATGTGTACATGGATTGCATGGATTGCAATATGTTTGTTGGATAATAGCCGCACTTACGAGTATTCAACACAAAACATGTTCTGCAAGGTGTAACAGGGTCCCAGGGTAACTCATTCTTCTACACATGCAAATGTAAGGACTAAACCATCCCTGAATTTTCCAAAACCGAGCGAACATAAGTCACTCCAACTTATCACCCCTACCGGTGAATCCGGTGAGTTTGAGCTTGATTTCGATTTGGTATGAATCCCTGCCAGCCCCTGCCCCCAGCAAAGCTCCTGTTCTGTGAGGTCTCATTCAACTCAAGGTAGTCCTTGCACACAATCACCACACAGTCCATTGTTCTGATTTATGAACGTATGTTCCGTTTCATTGAGTGAGTTTCTATAGAAAATGTTCTTCTGTTTTTGCTTCAACATGAAAAGACTCTGCTTCAACGCCATTTCAAGGTCCCTCCCTCTCAGTCTGAAACGTGTGGAAAGCGTTTAACTAGCTGGCAAGGCTTGACAAGCACCATTTGTTTTGAAATGTCTTCAATGGAACTCCAAATTGGGAACAACATCTCGCCATATAAAACATCTCTGTACTTTGGTCAACAACAAAACATCTTCGCCACATGGACTTTGCTGGAGTTTCATTGTAATTTATGTATATATATATATATATACATACGGAGTTATATATATATTATATATATTAGGGTGCGAGTCAAAAATCGGGTATGGATCGCTCCGCGGTGATCCGTACTATGGATCGGGAATGCTTACGTAAGGTGCCTGATCCGTACCCTTTCGTAAGGGCTCATCATAGCATACAAACTGTGCTGATACTCCTACTATCTCCTACCAAGGTTGCTATTACTTCTCCTCCTGCTACTGTTGCTGCTAAAACTGCTACCACTGCTAGTGGATGGAGCATTAAAAAAACCAGCACCAGCAGCAGTAGTGGCAATAGAAGGAGGAGATGCAGTAGCAGTAGAAATAGCAGTAGCAGTAACAGTAGTACTAGTAAAAGTCATAATAGTAATAATAGTAATCTAATGGCAGTAGCAGCAGCAGCAGCAGCAGCTGCAGTTGTACTAAGAGTAGGAGTAGGAGTAGTAGTAGTAGTAGTAGTAGCAGCAGCAGTAGTAGTAGTAGAAGTAGAAGTAGAAGTAGAAGCAGCAGCAGCAGCAGTAGAAGTAGAAGTAGTAATCGAATCGGACTTTCATATTGGCATTTGTTGTGGCGTGACTGGGTTCGGGTATGGATCGGGTATGGAACGGGTATGGAACGGGTATGGATCAGGGTATGGATCGGGACACGCTATCTGGGCCGGCTTTCCCGCTATGGCTGTGAAGGAAGAGAGCGGGGTATTTCTAGTCTGGTCTAGTTCTACACGTGCGAGGCAAAGCAGAAACAGAAGGAATTGTAATCATAGCGCCACTATAGAAGTACAAGAAGCACCTAGTCGAAATAGAACCGATCTTACTAGCCTCCAAGGTGCACTTGCAGTATTGCTAGTAGCTAGTCAACTAGTTGCATTTGTCCAACTACCAGAAGCACTCGGAGGAAGTGAACCAGCACCAGCAGCGGGAGCAGGACCAGCAGGAGCAGCAGCAGAAGCGACAGCAGTAGCAGCAGCTCCTAGGAGGAAGATGACTAGTAGCGGCAGCAGCAGCAGCAGCAGCACGGAGGCAGCGGAGGCAAAGGAGGCAGCAGTAGAAGCAACGGTAGCAGCAACGGGAGTAGCAGTACAAGGACCAGAAGCAGTATTAGGATAAAAAGCAGCATTAGGGCCAGCATGAGTCTTTCTTCAACGAGAAAGGGGTACGGATCAGGGGTATGGATCAGGGGTATGGATCAAGGGTATGGATCATGCAGTATCATGGGGTATGGATCAAGGTATGGATCGGGGGGTATGGATCGTGTGTGGGTCCGGGGCCTTGATCCATACCTTGTATTTTGACTCGTACCCATATATATATATATATATACTTTTATAATTACCCATATTGCTGCCATTGCTTTCCAAAGCAACTCCAAAGTTCTCCAAGTTCACCGCCTTCTCCAGTAGCCAGAAATCCGAGATGAACAGCTGAGGCCTGAGATTTGCGATGCCCAGCTGGCGGATCAACCCTTGGTACACCCTGAAAATGCCCAGCATGGGATGGTTTTCGTTTTTGACAAATAAAACTGACCACGATATATCAGCATACAGCTATGAAGAGTTATGAACCATACCATTGATCTATTGAAATATCCACATGGCCAAACTCGTGCATCCGATTGCATCGATACCCTGCAACTGCTAGGATTCCTGCTGATACACCCCCAGGTCCGGAAACTTCTTTAGCCGTGCAAACGGGCCTTGCCTGAGCACGCAGAATACAGTTCGTGGAGCAATGAGCAAGGAATGTCCCAACCAATCAATTCCATGCTTGAACCCGTCATGAAGATAATTGCCTGCTGTCTTGTGAACAGCTTGGGCGGGTCTTCTTGGATACCGGCTGTGAAGCTGCCTGCTGAAAGGCCTCTTGCATGAAGAACATCGGCAAATTGATTAAATCCAATGTTCTGCTGAGAAAGAGATCCAAGTCCACTCACTTGCAATTTACTCAAGTACACAGTTCAAACATGGGGTTACGGACTTTCAGCTGCAAAACAAACTTTCGGATTGGTGCAAAGAGAAGCCACAAACACATGGGCAATCCCACCGTGTGGTCCACCACTGGCCGGATGTCCAGCTTCGTCTTGAAGTAGGGCACCTGAACTGGCACCAGGTCACCAAGTGATTCAAGGAGGTCTACCGAAAGGCTTAACCCTTGTCCCAGTCATGGTGCTGAAGAAACAAATCTGTAAGAAGCAGGTGGACAAGAGACGCATCTGGTCCTACCTTGGCCGAGTGGTTCACCTGCACCTCCTGAGAAACAAGAATGGCCGAATGGTCTCTGGAATGAATGGACAATTGAAACATGACTTTGAAATAAGCACAGATGTCATTTCATTGATTGGCTGTCTACCGAAGTTGTAAGAAACAAATCTGAAATGTAACAAACTGATCCTGACATGATCTGACCACACATCCACAAAAGCTAGTCATTGAAAGCGCTTTGAGGCTTGCAATCAAACTTGGTGATCAGGAGCGCGGCCTTGTACATGCTTATATATATATATAAATGGTCTCAAGTCGTTGGTGAATTGGTGAATTGCGGATCGTGGGTTTTGCTAACGTTCCTTCATAAATGTTAGTTGCCATCTATTTGTTGCACCAGTTTATTCATCAAATCCATCGATTTTCGCCTCCTCCTCGCTGGACCATAAGCTTGATTCACCTGTACGCGGGGCAGGCTAAAGGTGTTCTACAACAAGCCAACATGTCGGAACATGTCGGCCCAAAGATGATTAAACAAATTTAAACATGTTCATTGATCCACCACTGGTAAAGCATATGTCAGCTGTCTTCTGAACATCCAGGATCTCCTTTTTTGCCGTCGCGACGCACGGGAAGCTACCAAACGCGGCCACAAAACAGGCAGCGCTCTGGTGGTGCCACTTGCCTCCTTGGTGCTGGTGAGTGCAGTGGATGACGAATGGCATTGAGGGGATGACAAATTCTCCCAGAGAAGATATATGATATATGTAGTGACCAATATTTGGGTATGGGTCAATACCTATTAATACCATTTTTAGTGGGATGAACATCCATTTACCAGCTATTTTGATGTTCACCAGGGGTACAAGGTTTTGACCCATCCCCATTTGGCAAATGATTGCTTTTGATAGCTGATGATGCGAAGAGAAACAAAATGGACATAGAGAGGAGAGGGTTCCACCGCAAAGCTAACACTAAGATACCGTTTCTTGCGGGTAGACAATGGTGGAAATTAGATGAAATTAGTATCTTCCTATATCAGACTCTGTCATAGTTGATCTACGTACCAATTGTTGTTTGATGAGATGAGATGATCAGGTCAAGTCTCATCATCTCACATTTTGACAGTTGCGGCCACGAGTATGTCAGCAAGACTCTTCCTGTCAAGTAAACCAGGAATGGAGGAAGCGCACTGAGCCAAGAGAAGTGTGTGCTCGAAACCAGGCTGCACCTATAAATAAAACACAACAAAACACGGTCTGAAAATGTCTGAAATGTATTCGAATATTTCGAATATCATACCTGCACTGATTGTACAACATCCCTCCTTTTATTCAGATCGCAAACAATTGGTCGTCCGCGGAGTCCAGTACAACAATTGCCGGAGGGGGAAAATGTCCACATTGAAACGAATATGGGTACAACAGTTGTACAACATGGTACAACCAAAGAGGGACATCAGAAATTGACGGCACTCGACATTCAACATATACGCAACATACCTTGCACACATCATCACACATCCTACCTGGTCCTGCCTTGATTGTATTTAGAAACTGTCCTTCCGCAGCTCAGTCAGTTTCCGGTTCTTTGCAGTAGCTTCACCAACGGTGTCTATGGCAGTGTTTATGGCAGTGTCTATGGCAGTGTTTATGGCAGTGTTTATGGCAGTGTCTATGGCAGTGTCCATGGCAGTGCCTATGGCAGTGTCTATGGCAGTGTCTATGGCAGTGTTTATGGCAGTGTCTATGGCAGTGTCTATGGCAGTGTTTATGGCAGTGTTTATGGCAGTGTCTATGGCAGTGTCCATGGCAGTCCCTATGGCAGTGTCCATGGCAGTGCCTATGGCAGTGTCTATGGCAGTGTCTATGGCATTGTTTATGGCACTGTCTATGGCAGTGTCTATGGCAGTGTCTATGGCAGTGTCTATGGCAGTGTTTATGGCATTGTCTATGGCAGTGTCTATGGCAGTGTTTATGGCAGTGTCTATGGCAGTGTCTATGGCAGTGTCTATGACAGTGTCTATGGCAGTGTTTATGAAAGTGTCTATGGCAGTGTCTATGGCAGTGTTTATGGCAGTGTCTATGGCAGTGTTTATGGGAGTGTTTATGGCAATTGTCTATGGCAGTGTCTATGGCAGTGTCTATGGCAGTGTCTATGGCAGTGTCTATGGCAGTGTCTATGGCAGTGTCTATGGCAGTGTCTATGGCAGTGTTTATGGCAGTGTCTATGGCAGCATCTATGGCAGTGTCTATGGCAGTGTTTATGGCAGTGTTTATGAAAGTGTCTATGGCAGTGTCTATGGCAGTGTTTATGGCAGTGTTTATGGCATTGTCTATGGCAGTGTCTATGGCAGTTTCTATGGCAATGTTTGTGGCAGTGTCTATGGCAGTGTCTATGGCAGTGTCTATGGCAGTGTCTATGGCAGTGTTTATGGCAGTGTCTATGGCAGTGTCTACTGCATGGCTCCTCTCGGATAACGCCAATGACTTCCGTCAGGACCTCCTGAGCAAATCACAGCACCATGGAAGCTCAACTACATTTTGCATCCCTTGCATGGCAAAACACAACAATGAAAACTCACCGATCATGAACAACTTGTGGCGCCATGCCCAAAACTGGCCTTGATTTCTTGGTCCGTCTTCTCTTGGCTGTCTCTCAGAACCTCCAGCAATTCATTGAAGGGTTCCTGAGCGTTCAATCTGCGTTGGAGAATATGGCGGGACCAGCTGCCAACATGAATCCAAGACTGAACAGTCAAGCAAACACAGGAAGGCTTGAAGGCTTGAAGGGATTCTCCATGCTCACAGCATCTTGGTTTAGTCAGTCAGGCAAGTCGCAAGTGAAATGGTCAAACCATTTAATGTAATTTAATTATATATTATATATATCATATATATATATTATATTATATTATATTATATTATATTATATTATAGTATAGTATATTATATTATATTACATTATATTATACTATATAATATAATATATATATATAATATATATAATATATATATAATATGTGATGAAGCTGTATTCCATATTCACATCTCACATGATGATGGCAGGGGTATCCCTAATGAAACTGACGAGTTTGAATCCAAGGGAACAGATTCAACGCGGCCAAGAGGCCAACAGCTCTTGACCTTCAACAGTTTTCTCACCTTGGGTTGCGGTGACCATCCAAGCAGATCTGCTTTAAACACCATGGTTGTTAAATGAATGGGCTGCCGAGGAAACACTAGAAAAACAAAACAATGAAGTTCCAGTTCATGAATCATCATGATCCACTTATTGTATGCATAGCCCAACATGATTACAGGACACGTCTTCAAACCTCATCCTAAAGAACGCTTGAAACGAGTTTAACTCTTATATAATGGAAAAAGACCGTAGCAAAGCACAACCCTTGCCATACTTCATGGCAGCAAGGCTTCCTGTTCTGGGATCACATGTTCTCCATGCAAGCAACTGACTCTCTGACCGTTCCCCTTATTTCCAGGCCTAATTCTTCAGCATCTGCCAAAGAGCTGTAGGCTTCCATCAACATCTCAATGGTGACCAGCAGTTCATCATCCAGGGCCTTCCGAGGTGGAGGGAGATCATCCCCACTTGGCATGTAGCTCTTCACATCGTCTTCCTGAAGCTCCTGTTCTTCCTGGGTAGAAATCTGGCCGGTGATCTCTCTCTTATAGGGGGAACCTCACATGACTTCGAATCTCTGTAGAACCAACAGCAAGAAGTGGACTGAACAGACTGTCTGATATTGTGACACATTCCGTGGGAAGAGTCAATCCGAAGCCACTGAAGTCTCACCAGATTTGTGGGCGACTCGAGAATGGTCGAAGGCGCTACTGTGAGGGCGTCATGTTTGGTGGATCGTTGGGGAGCAGATGTGCAATTGATGCAATGAAGTCTCAAGATGTCTCAAGATGTCTCAAGATGTCTCAAGATGTCTCAAGATGTCTCAAGTAACTAATCGTCCTTTCTCCTAGCCACATCTTATAAGTGAAACTAAACGTTACCCAAACGAGGATCCGTGTCATCCACCGGAGTTTGCTCTACCTCTGCTGCTGCCGCAGCATCTGTATCCTCCGATTCCTTGGGGCCTTTGGCGCCCTTGGTCATCCTCGGAAAGGATTCACCAGGAGAACTTGGCACACAGAAAAAACATGAAGCGACTGTAAAAACATAGACAACTTTGAATGACAAACTTCACGACCTAGCAGAACCATATCCAACATGTTCTAGGGAACTGTTGGAACATATTCTACTCACAGGGATGCTTGATGTTGCTGGCTTTCCCAAGTTTTCCTGTTCCAGTGCGCTTGTGGAGGCTTCAGAATACAAAGAAACATCCACCTGAACCATCCAACACTTAAACTTCTCCGGCAAGATGCATGAATACCATCTTCTCCTCAAGGGCTGCCAACTCTGCCGCTGCTTTTTGTCTCTTCTTCTCCTCCAGATCAATTACTACCGACAAACCAGCAAGTCTGCTAGAAATCTGCGGGATAGTCTTCTGGCTAAGGTGTCAGCCCCTGACATGGAAGCACATGGTCAGGGAGTTGAACGGTATTGAAAGATGAGATTTGTGTCCTCCTCAGCCAGCAAGGCTTGTCTAGCAATCTCCTGCAAGCAAACATGCGTGTGGAGCTGTGTTCGGATGCGTGGTAAAAACAAACAAACAAACAACATATTAAATTTTGACACGTCAATCTCATCAAGTTACAATGTGTATATATATATAATTATATATACACACTATTATACAATATTTTTAGCCATTGGATGTTTTCTTCTCAATGCCTTGCTCGAGTCCTTTGAAGCAGCTTCAAACAAGCTTTCAGAAACCGTCAGGGTGGGGTAGCCCACCAACCATGACCCACGAAACCGTCCTCTTGATCCTCCACATTTTCCGGTACTGGCTGTGGCTGAACACCTTGATGGGCCGGCCAAAATATATAATGAGCTTGTTTTTCCTTCACAAATTGCAATGGACAGGCATTCTGGTGCGTGAATCAACCCCACTTACAAGCTTGCTGTTCAGCTTGATGTTCCCAAACAGGTGGGAAGACCCGCTTGTTTTAAACCATCATCTGCGTCTAGATCCATCCAACATGCATTCCCTTCAGCAGCCGACCCCCATTATCTTGTGAGGAAAACAACGCTGCGTCTACGACTTGGAGAAAGGAGAAACATGGCCATGAAAGTCTGCTTGTTTCACAAAGCCAGACCCGTCCAAACCAAGCTTCTTTCAGCAGCTTCGGGCTGCTTTTCCTCCACTTTGGCATCAACTTCGTTTTGGCACACCGGGCCTTATGATTGAGAGAGTATGAGAGATTAACCTCTGGCTATCGTAACCCAAAATGACTTGCATCAAGCGTACATCACACGTTTGCCGCTGAAACCAACACCCTCATTCAGGCAACAAATAGCCAAGGAAAAAGGCAATGTCTTCTGCAAAGAGCTGCATACATGGCGTACATCCAAATCAAATATGGGGTAATTACGCTTCCAAAATGGATTTCATGAATTCCGACAGTTGGGGGGAATCAAAATCTTCCACCACGCTCAAAATAGGTGGAATTGCGCTGCAATGTGAGACTCCACTGGGCCAAGCGGCAAAGGAGTGGCAAAGACGTGAACTTGGCGCGTTCCTCACTCAAATAGTTACTCGTCCACTCCTGAGGCGGGTGTTTTAGAAAAAAAGAAACTGCAACCAACCATCCCATATTTTACAGTACATATGCTTGGCAGGCATGCAGGTTTGATCCAAAATAGCTTGAATTGATGACAATCTTTCAAAAACCTCACCGTTCGCATCTCAGTTGACACAATGCACTGCTCTCATCTCTCACTGGATCCAAAAAATCTGCCACCAACCCAGCACAGGCTCCAGTTCTCCCTGAAGTTTTTCTGCCTTCTCCTGACAAACCCACCCGAGCCCTGCCAGCTGTCTGGTAAGCCAACTCAGTGATTCAGTGCATACAATTGGTTCATGGATGCTGGATCAGCTACACTGTATAGCATCCTACTGCCAACAAATACCATGGATGGATTGTCATCTCAAACTAAGCTAAATCAAAAACTCTGAGGATCAATATGTTTCTACAAATCGATGCAAAATGTGCTGCAGCTATGATACTTTGAGCTTCTTGTAATTCTCTTGTTCCTCAGTGAAACCAGTCGGCTTAGCAACCTATAATGGTAGCCTATTGCAAGGCATAGAACACTGACCACATTGGCGGATCAAGGTCAAGAAAGATCAATGTCAGCCAGCATATTTCAAGAAAATAATGATGCCTCCAGATCCGAATCTGTGTTTGTTGTGCTGAAGAGAAACCTTATGAAATGTATGTCTGTACTAGTTGTTTTTTTGCAAAGCATGTCAAAACTTGAAATACCTTAAACTAAAGTGGCTCAATCAGTACAACTGCTCCTTCAGCGATCTGAGCGCGTCCTACCCAACTTACTGAAAGGGTGAAAGGGTCGCTTACAATTCTACTGCAGTATCCTGGAGAGTATCCCCATGAAAATGCCTTGCTAACCGCTTGAAATGCGACATGGCATGCCAAAATGCGGCCAAGATATCCCGGAGTGACGTTCTGAAATTTGCAGTTCCTAAGGGTGGTAAACCCATGTAAACTCTATCCACCTGCCAGGAGTCTTTGTCCAAGATCAGTTTTGTTTCTTTGTGCTCAAACTGCGCCTTTTCCCACTTGGTCACCTTAGAACTTCGTGCAGTCGTGAAGCCCAACTCTATAGATGACCGCAGAAAGCAGAATATCATATACCGAAGATGCAATATAAATCAATATAATATAATAATACATATATCAAACCTGAAAGGTGCTGGAAATCACTTGGAGTATCTTGGAGCTAATAGCAGCTATCAAATCTGTAGATTGGGCTCAGGTTGCTCAGGTTCCTGCTGTGCAGAAACCGTGCCAACTTTGACGATACGTAGTGGAATTTAGTGGCACTTACGTATCAGTAAATTGTTGGCAATTGTTGGCACCTTTCAGATCTTTCAGTCTGAGCTGCTGCTTGCGACATCTCGTCACTCAGTTGGCGCTTACCTTCTTTCTTCATCTCTTCGAGCTTTTCATCGATGCCTCGGCCAGAGAACATGAGTCAACTGGCAAAAGTGGCCATGGTGATTGGAAACATGCTGCCTACGAGATTAATGAACAAATAAATGTTATGTTGCTATATTCGAAAAAATATAATGTATATCTGTATATCACCATGAAACCAACTGGCCTGATATGAGTGCCATTCTCATCCAAGCCAAACGGACTGCAAAAGAACCTGCAAAAAGAATCACAGTTTAATGAAACCCCAAAATCTGCAGGTTTCACGGCTTCACAACAAGAAACGCTTCAGGTACTTCTTGGGCCGCTTTCGATTCATCCGGACGCTGGGATGCCAGTTCTTCTTTGTATGCTTGTTGTGGTACAGTCCTGACACGAAATTGTGCGCTTTTGAACAACGGATTGGTTCAGGACCTATAGCTGTTGGACAAAACATTGCTGCCAAAGTATATTTTCCTTGGATGTGAACCGCCTCAACAACTCAGGGGTCTGAACATTATTCGATATTGTACCATATTCTACCAACAGCCGCAAAGGCTGGGATGTCCCAGTGCCTCCAAGGCTGACCTCTGGTGCGCCCCAGCGTGCCTGGGCTGTCGGATGGTTGATCCCCAAGTTTCCCGCCAAATGTCCAGAAGGGGCTCAAGTAGAATTGTCTTCAGGCAACATATGTTGCAAGTGAAGTCATCATGTTCCATCATGTTTCAACATGTTTCAACCATTATCAGCCTAGAAAATCTATGAAAATCCTCCAAGTTCCTCCATTTCCTCCCTTTTGCGATGCCTCGTTTCGGTAATCCACAGAGTCCAACTCCACTGAGCTGTCTGACTCCTCGGCCTCCTGGCGCACGGCAAAACTCCTGGTGTTGATATGTGTCGATGTAGTTCCAACATGTTCCAACCCCGCCTGTTCATTGGCTTCATCCTCGCTAGGCACCTGTTCCTCATCATCCTCTGCAGTTGCCTGTGCCTGGTGAACGGTGTTAAAGCTCTGACGACATATGACTAGTGAAACTTGTGATTGGACAATAGTAGACAAAGCATTGTGTTGCATGATTAGCAATGAAGAGTCTACAGTAGCAGGTCTAGCAAATACAGTGCTTGCTTGTTTCCTCTATTCGATGCACCTACAAAAGAAGACAATCCGACCCCTTTGGGCAGTGGCCCAAGCCTTTTTCATGGCCTGCTCCACAGCTGAGGCTGCTCGATCCTTAGGGAACTGCTATTTCTGGAAAATGGCTAACATGAAATCAGTGAAAACCAGCCCAGAAACCATCTGCAGTTGCGCATAAGCCACCTGTGGCCAAGGCAGAGGGGTAGCATCATCCCCTGCCATCCTGCCATCCTGCCATCCTGCCATCCAGTGCCTGCTTGTCGGCTTCTTCTACCTGTTCATTTGCTTCTGCGCACCTTGGTGCACCAAGGATTCGCATTGACGGAATAGGGCTCGCATGGGCTCGCAATAGTGGATGATTCCCACATTACTCATTGCTCATGTCCCCCGCACACAAACATGAGCCAACGGGCTTGGTGCAGGTGGCTCATGGTGGCTCCAAAACAATAGATGCAAATACATTTTAGCTGTTAACATACAATCTTGACAAATCATTGACATTCATTGCCTCAGCCGGATGCAGTTGGGGCACATCTTTTCAAGCGCATCCTTTTGTGACTTGATGCTTTCCGTCGCTGCATCTGCTTTCGCTGTCTTCTCCTCAGTCCAGCCGTCCAGCCCCTCTCATCCCTATGTTGCGAAGGCAACCAGAATGCATCAATCTGAAAGATCTTGAATACGTATCGAATACAACAAAGACAAGAACTTCATCCATTTGAATCTATATAATTTGCCACTTGCAGTGACAGCAGCATTGTGTCAGTTCAGCTTTCCAGGATATGGTCGATGGTCGCCTGAGTTCCCCGCCCTATCTTTCAGACCTCGCCATTCTTCCAGGCAATCGCGATGGAAAACGCAGTTACAAGCCACGAAAATGGCGCTGCCTCAGAAATCAAGGGTTGTTTCTCGCGTGGATCAAGACTTTCTGTAGATTGAACTGATCTGTACTGATGTACTGAACTATACTGATTAATTGGGATATATCTATTCATCTATTATAATCTATTATAATCTATTATAACCTATTATAATCTCTTATAATCTATTATAATCTATTATAATCTATTATACTGATTGAACAAGGAACAAACACTTGTTCAGGGCAAGTGGCTTGGATCACAATCCATCATGCAAATATAACATTCGCTGACCTTGGTACAATCCAAAGACTGCTGCGACAAACTCTAGAACTGTTGGGACCATTGAAGCTTGTGAACATTTGTCATTTGTGAACCAAATCAGCCAGCCATATCAGCAATATTTATTGCATTTCACCAAGACACAGCTTTGCCTAGAGCATCTTTCACCTGCGCTTGGGATGGCCGAGGTGAGTTGTGTGAGTCAGGACTGAAAGCTACCCACCTCCGAGAGCAAAGGTGCTAAGCAACCTTCCTCCTGCAGGCCATGATGCTGCACAGCCTTCTCAGCCTCAAGACTAGAACAGATTTCAAACGTCTGGACACAGATCATTAACATAACCAACATTACATTATCGTAGTTATTCCTCTTATCTTTTTTTTTAGTGAAAGCAAAAAATGGCTCATGGGGGATCATGGAAGACTAAACGAATAGTCGCAGGGTTATTATACTCTCCCAAGTGGTGACAACTCGAAACGATTCGAAACGCAACATGCTGCGCCATGACCAACTGTTCATAGATGTTCATAGATGTTCTACTTGTAGCATTGTATAGCCTCTCCCTTGGGCTGTGTAAAGGACTATTGTAACAAACACTGTCTAAACAAACCACCCACATCAAAGTTGAAAGACTTCCACTGGGATGATCATCAGGTAGATCCTGAAATACAAATCATCTTGAAACAAGATGCTGCTTCCATCATGGCTTCTGTAGCGACCTACAGCGCTGGGGCGATGGAAAGGAGTCCACCCAAGGAAATGCGCTGTAAATGGCAGGGAGGTGTGAAAAGGTTCATGCCATGCGAGGGTCAGAAAATTGCATGTTTCGATATGTTCCACGATATTTCGCTGGCCCAACATGTCGTCGGTCAAAAGTTGGGAAGAATATGTTCTGCGCGTCGGATATGAATGCATATGATAGAGTACAATGCAAATAGAACTTTGGATCAAAGAATAAAAGACATACCAGGCAGTTACTTCTGCCCTCTAATGGAAGCCACTTAGACCCAAAGTGCCAAACGGTCACTTACAAGATCAATCATGCATAAGTGACCTCGTTTCATGAATCCTTAAGTGACCTCTTTGCCTGGCTGATCTCATGATTTCTGCGTGTCTCTGCGTGTCACTTGCGTGTCACTGGGGTTTCGAGGTGGGATGAAACGAGGTCACTTAGGACCCTGAAAAGGTCACTTAAGCCTTGAAAAGGTCACTTAAGGATTGGCTGTCTGCGTGTCACCTGCGTGTCACTTGCGTGTCACTGGTAGGCCACTGTACTGGGGACCCCCCAGTCCAACATTCCCACTTCGGGCCACGTCGTAAACCGAGACATGACGAGGTACATCACCAATGCCTCTGGACCTCTCCACAAACACCTTGGGTGTGGCTGAGGTGGGATAGCCTGCTGGAATCCTCACCTGCAAAGTTGCGCACACCTCGGCAGCTGGAAGCTCCGAAAAAACTTGGAAATTCTTGAGAGAATCTGTTGCAAGAAATTCTCTCAGGGCCATGAGGTCTCACTTCTTACATATGTGGAAACGGCATCCAATTGTTTTGTCTTTCCACTCAGATCTTTCCTTGTGCATTGGAGTCAGGTCAGGAGTTGCATGACTTGCATACATGATGTCGCATGGCAGAAAACTACCATCCTTTCTTTTGTCAAAACAAATCACTGAGCAAGTTTCCTGACATGATTGGATGTTGGTCTGGTTTCACATTTCCCTGGAGCCCAAAATGGTTCCAAATGATAGGTTATGCGATTCTGAACCAGACAATACACAAGCTCATGCCTTATGATCAGCTGCAGGCCACAGGCAGGCAATCCATATAGTCAAGTTCTGAAGCAAAATCGGCGTTTGTCATCGTGATCCCATAATGCCGCCCTTCCCATGAGTGGGAACTCCCAGAGCACAGGACCCATGACATCCCATAACCCCATTGCCGAGCAGCCAGCTGTATGCCCTCTTCAGTCATGGGCTCAAGGTCCACTTCCAAGCAGCAAATAGCAGGGTTTTCCTGTCAAGATAAGGCACCCATGAAGTTTTCACTGGATCCCAGTCAGACATTCGCTCCGTGGTACAGGACTAGATCTGCATGTGTTTATTTCTCTCCACTGTGAGCTGTGGAGCCCAGCCAACACTATTTATTCCTCTGACATGGTTGCGTAGATATGTGTAGATCAGCTATTTCATCGTAGCTTGAACATGCATCATGACTTCTTAAGTTGCATTTTGTTGCATTTTGAGCTCTTGAATTTGAGCAAGTGGTGGTCCTACCCAAACAATGCCACATACTGCCATATACTATAGTCAGTATATGACTTCCTCCTCCTCCTCGTCATCATAATCTATTTTGACAATCTCTAAATTATTTTAGTATATTTTAGTTAGATTCATGAGAATTGTCTATTCACATTACAAAACTACACCTGTAGATGGCACCATCAGATATTGCTCCTCGTCATCTCCAATTTTCTTTTGGAGAAGCCTGTTGCGGGCGGGAAACGACAGCTGTGAAGAGGACTTGATCTGTTGAAGTCACCTGTGGGTCAATATCCGAGTGGTGAGGAACTGTTTGCTGCAAACCCTGGGAGGCTGATGGATCTGATGGCTTTCCTGTTCATCCGCATGTGCCAATCATGACCCACCATTTCAACCTTTCTTAACTCCAAATCCCAGTAATTTCAAAGCCGCCGGGCATGGTCCCCCGGCCGCACGGGCTCTTCTCCATAGATAGCCTCATGACTGCGGCTTCGTCGTTACCCTGTGAAACCCAAGATCGGCTGTAATCATCACCAGTTGGTTCTGACTCACCGCATTTATGGTGTGATCTGGTGTGATCTGGTGTGATCTGGTGTGATCTGGAAGGTATGGCTTTCGTAGTGGATGTGTTGTGCTGCAGTTCCCCGTGCAGGTTCAAACATCTCACACCCTTGCCTCAAGACAACATTTGGAGGCGCGGCATCATGCAAACACATCTTACAGTCTACTGGAAGCGCTTACACACTGGCAACTCTGCAAACCGAGAGTCTCTCAGAATCTCAATCTCTTGCGCCACCAACTCTGGCAATTCTTCCGACATGGCGCAGGAAGCGGATAAAGCGTTCAGTGCATCAGTCCCTGTTCATTCTCAGTTTTGCCGTGGAATTCTTGTGCATTGAATTTGCAGTGAAGAAAACCAACAAATCCAACAACAAAGAGTTCATGTTCATGTTTTTTTACAGCTAGGCAGGTCCATGTCTAACCGGGACTGGAATGTAAACCAATTCTGGCTGTGTCGATTTCTGGCCAGGAGAACTGTGACATTCACTGGCTGTGTTGGTCATCAAGAGCTTCTTGCGTCCCATCTCGCTTCTGGCCGCTAGGGCGAATTGGCAAAACTCTATTGTTGACCAGCAACCACCAAAACTGTTTTGGCTCAAGCGCTGCAGCACTCAAGAGTAGACCAAAACACAATGTATCTGAGATCTACCAGGGGTATCCGGGATAGCGAATGGCAAAGGCTTCAATTCATTTCATGTTGTTGTGCCAAAGGATATGCACCTCTGTAGAGTTGTTCAGGGCTTGACTTTATGATGGACTTGGTCCGGTAAAACAAACATTGAACTTGACAAAGGAAAATTATTCCAAATAAATCCAAGCTAATCAGTGTCTATATACATAGTTTGACAAACCAACGAGTCCTAATAAATAAGCATGTTTTCGCCATTCAACATAATTTATATACTGTGACTGTAACTGTAACATCTGGCGACACATGTGACCAACCAACAGTAACAACAACAACAACAGCAGAAAAATCGGTGCAGCCACCTGAGTGGGAGTCCAAGTTCTTCATGGTCACAACCAAAGGCATTGAACTTTGTACCACCTGTTGCAGAATTTGGAGCTTTCGCAACCATTCATGACGCACCATGATGTACGTTGTGGTGCTGGATACCAGGGATCTTTTCTACGAGTACTGAGGACTGTGAAGGATGGAGGGATGTCACACCGCATCGGGTCAGAGTTCATCCACTGTCTGAAGCAATCCACAGTCATCTCCTAGATGCTGCTTGAGCTGCTTGAGTCACTAGCGCTGCTACTACTCACACATGCCACCGAAATGTTTGGGACCGTTTGGGACAAGCAAATCTACACTATTCTACACTTACTATATCATAAAAGAGCCATGGTCATGTCTGATTGTGAACGAAGCCAGGGGCACGAGGAGGTGCCTTCCCCTTCTTCCACTTCCTCAACACCAATATACACTGCCAGGGGTATCTTTTGCATCTTGCCTCCTCTGGTGGTACAGATTCTCCTCGTTCCACCGCTAGGAAAATATTCCTGACAGGGACTTCTAAATGTGAAAGCTCTGATAAACCATGCATCGTTCGCTTGATCGACAATGAACAAGTTCCATTTCTCGGCGCAGTGAGACCGTCAATGTGATCCCAGCTTTGGGGAACATCGCTACGCGTCTCAATAGATGGGTCATTGTCAAAGCAGTGGCACTTTAGCATCCTCGGAAGCAAGGCTAGTCTATGCGAAGTTACGTATCCGTGCGTATAAAGATGTACAAAGTGACATGTGCAAATATGATGAGCGAAACATGATGAGAGAACCACAAAACTAAAGTAATGAACTGTCAAGATCTGTAAAGTGTATCACCGTGGCTCCGATGGCTTGTAAAGTTAGAAGATGTTGGAAACAAGTCTGCCACCGATCACAGGGTATCGCTCGGTCTTGTGTGCCCAGCTTCACTGCAGTTCGTGGTTTGGCTTGCTGCCTGTGCAAGCAAAGTCCAAGGTAGCGCAGCATCTTCGCACCAACGTCGGTCTGACCATTTGGAGTCCGCAAGATCGAATAGCTCGACACGTTTCCTATCAGGCAAAAGTAGTAAATGTAAATGTGATGTGAAGATCGTGCCTCGGGTTCCTCGAAAATATAAATTGTCCATAATTATCCCAACTTGTTGAAAGATGCCAAAAGATGCCAAAAGCATCCAAAAACACCTTCATGTCCATCAATACACACCATATACACACGCAACACATCCCCAGCTCCAGCTCCTCTGTCCACAGAGCCATGGCACCGCATGTGCCACAAAAAGAAGGGCCACACCTCGAGGAAGCTGAGCTTCGGCATATCCCAGGGCATCCAGCACAAGCTCCACGAAGCTATCAGTGATGGGCAAAGATTCATCCCACCTCATGTCACTTTCAGGTCGAGGAACATATGGGATTTGGGCCGTCTCAGGGCAAACAAAGATAACAAAGCCCCAACTTAGGTCTCAAATATAGGGCCTATAGGGAAACAGGATGAGAAAGGTTTACACCCAGAATATCCCAGAATGGGATTGACGATTTGGTGAGGCAAATAGAGTTCGGAGCAGCCCTCGAGCTACCAGTAGTACCGCACAAGGCGGTGGCGGAAGTTTCAAAAATAGGAAACCTATAGGAGAGGTTGGTTGTTGTGAATCAGGGATGGCAAAGCGAATCCACTGATGGACCGAAAGGTGCTTGAGGTCTCCTCTCTGTCTCTCTCTTTCTCTGACTATCTACCTACCTATCTATCTTCTATGTATCTATCTATCTAGCTATCTATCTCTCTCTTTCTCTCTTTCATCTAATTACCTATCTACCTATCTACCTATCTACCTATCTATCTAACTATCTATCTATCTCTCTCTCTCTCTCTTTCATCTGTCTATCTGTCTAGCTGTCTACCTGTCTATCTATCTATCTGTCTGTCTGTCTGTCTGTCTATCTGTCTACCTGTCTATCTGTGGTGCAGTGTCATTCAGTGTATTGTAGTGTAGTGTAGTGTAGTGGAGTGTAGTGGAATGTAGTGTAGTGTAGTGTAATGTAGTGTAGTGTAGTGTAATTTCGTGTAGTGGAGTGTAGTTGTGTAGTCGTAGTTGTAGTTGTAGTGTAGTGTAGTGTAGTGGTAGTAGTGGAAGTGTGTAGTGTATGTAGTGAAGTGTAGTGGAGTGTGGTGTAATGTAACGTAGTGTAGTGTAGTGAAGTGAAGGGCGAAGCGACATCTGAACCTCCAAAAGTGGTCCGAGCATGGTGTGTCTTGTACATTATGACTTGGAAATGTGCTTCGCGCCACAACGGTGTGCACTTTTTCGACATCTCAACTTCCAAAAGTGGTCCGAACCCCTGGTGTTTTGTACATTTTGACTTGGAAATGTGCTTCGCACCACAACGGCGTGCACCTTTTCGACATCGCAACTTCCAAAAGTGGTCCGAGCATGGTGTGTTTTGTACATTTTGACTT